AAAAAAAAAAAAAAAAAAAGAGGCAACAGCTAGACCCAAGCTCATCATGTCAGATGTTCCGTTTAAAATTGACGAAAACTCAGTGTCAAAATTTCTTGATTATTTCGTTTACAGTAAATGCTTTAGCGCTTTCTGTTTTTTTTTTTAACATTAGGAACTTCAGTGGGTGGGTACTCAAAGAAGTAAACTGTTGCAAACCAAATGCTTTCTGCGTAAACGTTTAGTTGTTCTCACAGAGTTAAAAGTTGCACAGAATTTCGTGGCTCAAAATGTCAGTGCAAAACTTTCGTCTCGGCAAATAAAGATGAAAACAGGTTTATTGTTACTGACAAAAAAAATTTAATTTTTGTTGCAATCTTTACACAGCCATATGCGCATATAAACCAGTAAATGATACGTTAGCTTAATTAACAACTTTCTTCTCCTTTCTTTCCACTTCCCTTGTCCTGTACTAGTTTTTGTACAAGTCTTAACAGCACCATTAAACGCGTTGTATTCAAATGAGCTAGAAAACTAGCAGCCTAATCACCCGCTAATCATCATGACAGTCAAATACTGGTTTACGGATTAATCTCAAAAACGGCTACAAGTCTTTAAAAGATACGAATGGCTTAAATCTATTTCCACCCTTCACAAATTACAGTCGCAGAAATTGTAAAATGTAGTGAAATGCTGATTTCGTTCGTTTGCTTCACTACTGATTTATCCGGACAAGAAATGAAACTATCAAATATTAATTGACCAACGGTATTCCAGATTGTCCGATTAAAAAAAAAGGCAATTCAAAATGCATCCAATAGAAGAAGTATTAACTGAGCTCCTCCTTTGTTTCGTTTGTATCGCGGCACTTGAAGGTACTCCGTCTTCAAAATTAGCTAGTTTTCCTTTTTACTTTTCAAAGTAATCTTATTCGCCTGACATTCAGACTATGAGACTAACCAAATCATCTATACCTGTTTGGCTTTGAGTGCACGACCTTCCCTTTTTAGACGTTGCCCTTTGCAGAAAGCTGTAAGTTCATGATTACCTCGATTAACTTTTAAGTTAGGAAACCTGGCTGGAACCTGATACCATAACTGACCACGCCTAATGAGACAAAATATAATCTTAGCTAGCAAAAAAATCTGCTAAAGATGTCTTTTACTAATTGTAAGTGATCATTTTCATCTGTAGTAAGTCCTCGCTCTGAAAACAGTGGTAGCACATCGTCAGCCAAAACAGTTACAGTGGTGTTCATATAAATCATTTTTTCTAATTTATACGAAATGTGTAAATTTGACCGGCTTTTCGGTTACGAGGGGCAGCTACCAACGTTAACTACCTACCCAGACAAACAAAGGTTATCAAAGGACCTTGGGAGTATAAACATAAGTGGCAACGTTGGAGTTCAAATCCCAGAAAATGATCCCGTCAGCATCGCCGCAACGGTAATAATTTCCATCCCCTAAAACGACAGTTCAATGCCTTGAGTCATTGCGTTTTAATCTAGTCCTTAGTTATCAAAATACTACCAAAACTTCTTATACAGCCAGCCAGAAAACCTTTGACAAAATAAATTAAGCAGTCTGCGGAATCTTACACGAACCTAACCGTTACACTTTTACTGAATCAAGAGAAGTTTGCTGTAGAATAAAAATTTTTAAGGTAACTAGTTCTACTCAACCTTGAATCACTGACCCATAGAAATTGGTAAAACAATAAATCAAAAATAACCGGTTACCCATCTCTAGACTTAAATATTATGGCGGCGTCACATCATTATTCCAGTTTAATCTTGGTTTTGGCGCCTCAGGACTGGCAGGAAGAGTACCATTTGGCTTCCAAAACAGAGGAGAAAGGTACAGTCTGAACGATTATAATGGTGACAAAGCCAACATTGTCCCAGACCGTTACGCAAAGACGATACTGAAGATACTACGCTACCAGCGGCTCCAAGAAATCAAAAGAATAAAGTCAGTAAATCAGAACTATTTAAAACTCGACAGAATGCGCTCTCCATTCACTGCACAAGATTCTTCTACAGAGGAATACGGCTCAAACAGTTAGGAGAGTAAGAACCGACCCAAAAGATAAACGATATTTCAAGAAAAGATTTTAATCTGTATTAAAGAGTAAGGTGTATCAGACCTCCATATTTCAGTTCTGAAATAAAACATTCAAAAATTATTTTTCCTTCTGTACAAGATTCAGTGTCCAAGGTTTCCCACAGAAAACGTAACTTGGTTGAATTAATTAAACATAAAGCTGGATAACAAAGAACTATAACAATTTTGGAAATAGCAAGGAAAATAGAAAATGATGAGGCAGACAACCTTCCAAGTGTACGAGCGTAAAAAAATCTCATGGCAAGAGAATTCCGATTTCGGAAAGCGTCTAATGCCACGAAACGCTCGACATTTAATAACTATTGGGAGAAGTAGAAGAAAAATCCTCATACAAAATATAAAAAATTGCGATCAATATTCTTAAATAGTAAATGCACATTGACATGCAAGCCCGTATTAAAACTAAGAACAATAGCCAGTGACGACTTTTCTTCCTGTTCGTTGAGAACAAGCAAACAGGAAAACGAGAAACAGGAGAAAAATTAAACGGGTCAACCTATTCATGTACTTTCATGTTCATACGCCTTTTATAAATATCACGGAAAATGCCAGCACCTCCACGAGGTGCTTCATCATCACTGTCCGAATCTCCAGCAGCTTTTCGTTTCCTTGCCGCCAAAATAGACTGCTGCTGTTGATACTCACTTGAAGAAAGGATCTAAAGTAATCAGTGAAAGCATAAATAATTAACTAGCGTAAAGTCATTTCATTGAGTAGCAGGTTAGCACGTCAGAGGACTTGTTTACTAAAAAATTTTCGCCGAAGCAGTCAGAAATTTCAATATTATAAATATCTTTTCTTGAAATTCTCAGTACCCACAGAAGACAGGTGAATATTTGCATGTTCCGGTCTCTAATCAAAAAAGCATTCCCAAAACAAAAGTATCTTTAGAAAATCAAATAGTATTAAAGTGTAAAAAGTTTTTAAATTTTCTGAACACAAACTTGATATTCTTAGGTCAAAAACTTCAGAAAATTAGGATAAATAGGTCTGCTAGTTGAAATATCTGCATATGGCAAAAACCTAATCGTTAACTTTGAACAGGCTCTAAATACCAAATTACGCCGCAAATAAGAAAATGGAACCCATGTATTAATAAATTCGTACATAATATCGAATAAAGCCAGCTGCAGTGAATGGGAAAATAATTTTGATAGAAATTGATTGTGGAATGACTTTAATTAAGAATACAAAAACTGGTAATGAAAAACAGACTCGTCACTGACAAGATCTGCTTTCACTGAAAAAGCTTTAATAAAAAGATTGTCGATTTCAAAAAAATCGTGTCGTCAAAACTCAAAGATTTTGACAAGAAAACTTACAACATTTGGATCAGTGGTGGTTGCTACAAGCTGGTAAAACTCCTTTTTTATATCTTCAATCCTGTAGGTACCAAACATCGTTCCGTTTTCCAGCTTTACATTCGGATTGACAGTCGGTGCTAAAATGAAAAACCCAAATAGAAACAGAAATGAGATTGTTACCTAGCCGTGATGCTTGTCTATTTTATACGAAGCTCAGAATAAATTCAAAATCAAAAAAGTGACTGATAACTAGACTAACGTCCTCCTTGACTAAACTTCCTAAGGCTTTCCATTAGCAGATCGACCGATACAAATGGCCCGTTAAAACAGTGAGGTGGAGGTAATATTTGCATCAATTGGGCAGCGGCAGGTGGCGGCGGGAATACTCCTAAACCATAATACTCTTGAACCCTAAGCCAAACAAACATAAATTGTGAAGGTTTCTCTAAAAGTTGAATAACTGCAACAAACGAAATAATTTTAGAGTTGAAAAAAAGTCAGATAAATATGGGCTGCTCGACAGCAAATAAAAGGTTTTCAAACATAGTCGAATCAGTTTTAAAAAAGCTGATAAATTCAGTCCCAAATCTGAAATGCCATAATTTTTAACTGCAATTTTCAGTCTTGATAATAAAAGAAGTCGGGGTATTCCGGCAAATACAAATCCTCAAAAATAAAATTATTCGACTCTTTGATTCAACTGGGAAGGTTTTTTTGAAGAATACTATTATGCACTCATCATACACAGAACTTAGCAATTTAAAAAAATTACCGCCTGGAACCGGATGAAAGCTAGCTGTGCAATTTACTTTAGGTTTGAATGGAATCATCTGATCAGTATCAGGTCTTGGGTAACCTGATATTTCGAGAACGACACCACCACCCATAACAGTAGATGGGCCTTGAACGCCTCCAGGTATAGACTTAGTAGTTCCAGATCCTAAAACAGAAGCAGCGTTAAAAACGATTAATCCTTTAAACATGAAAACAGAGAGAGCAAGCAGAAACTGAAAAGAAAAGTGTAAAGGCATAATTATCTAACATATACAGAGAAACTTAGATCTCGTAGTACTTCTCCATACCGTTGGTGTGATTCGGGTTTCCTAAAGAAGATGCGGTCCTTCCAATCATCGACGATCCCGAACGAATCTGTTTCTAAAAACTTCTAAAACCCTATGCTGTAACGTAATAAAATCTTATTAGAAAGCATTTGGAAGCCCGTCGGAAGAAATGACCCGAATTTTAACTTTCGAAAACATACTGAGTAACCCATAAGCTTTAGCTGTTCATTTGTACATGGTACGAGATTAAGGAATCTGTAGCGGTCAATGAGCAATAGGGTTTGCATTTCTCCGTACGACTCCTTTAAAGCATCTCTGCGCCTCTGATCCACTTTTAGTACGCTGGCTAAGTCTCCAACCTGTGATTCAAATTCCAAATAGCGATCCCATATCTCTCTAAAAGACATCCAGTATAAAAAGTAGTAGAAAAGATATTTTGTAAAAAAAGTCAAAATATCTGTAACAAACAATAACAATAAAAACAAAACAGACAATGATTTTTCTGTAGGCATAGTTCCAGAAGTTAGTATTCGCTCGAAAACGACGCGAGTATTATTGTCC